AGGTTTTTGCTACAGGGTGCGTGTGCTTGCCAGAAAGACAGAGAGAAACAGAGAGACAGAAAGCAATAAATCACCCCCCAGGGAGGATGGCCATGCCGCAATCCCTTCTCCACCATTCTCCTCTCAGGATCTTGGGCACACATGCACATGTACCCAGCATGAGTTTAAGCCACCAGGTCAGGAACTCGAACCATGGTTGACTCCGTGGGAGTCCAGCGACATAGCCATTATACCAACTGCTAGTTCCACTCCTATATTACTTTTATTATACTCAATGTAGAAAGAACATTGAGGATATTCAGGTAAAGTCATTTTACCTAAGATTGTGTCATTTACAAGAGACAGAGCCAAAATTCAAACGTAAACCTGCCTGGTTTCAAAGCCTGTGCCCATACGTGTGTAGGCACACTGCCTCCTGCTCAGAGGTCCCTGTGAAGAGATAAGAAGTCTTACCTGCAGCAACCTTTTTGCCCTCCTTCAGCTGGTTGGCTACATGTTTAGGCAGCATGGCATAAAGCAAGGTCTCGGTTTTCTTCTTCTCGATGGCCAAGTGCTTGGAGAGAATGCGCAACTCCTCCTTCTTCCTCTCCAGCTGGTTAGACAGTTCAATCTCAGCCAGTCGCTGCTGGTTCAGGAGGATGAGATCCCTGGTGGTGTCGTGGGGAGCGATGTCAGAAAGATGCATCTTGCGTTCCTCCAGCTCTTGCAGGCTGCGCAGCTTTGGAGAGCACATATACATCATGCACTGCATGGACTCCATCCAGATCATCTGGCCTTTAATTATGGAGAGAAGTGGGGCAAAACAGTATATAACCAAGAGGGGATAAGCCAAGCTCGCCAGGTAAACAAGCGTCACCACACAATATACGTTCTAGTCACCGCGGTCACGCCCTTTCCCTTTTAACTAACTATATTTTTCCTTTGTACAACAGCTCTCTGCACAACTTCTTTTCTTTTTCCTTTTCTTTACTTTCTTTTATTTTTATGATAGAAAGCAATTGTATATACATGTACCCATGCAAGAAAGAGAGAAGCACCCTCGACAGTCTCATCACATCAAGATTCCCTTTCCTCAACTCTCCAGCTCCTCAGGATCTTGGATACCCAACTGTGCCTTCAGGCTGTCCTGGGGATCAGAATCTGCAGCTGTCTCTGTGGCTTCCAGCACTGTAGTTCAGTTTCCATAAGCCTGGGCCTCATAGCTGCTCTTCATACTTTCAAGTGGCTCCAAATGGTTGGATTCAGCACAAGAAAGTGAGTCTTGTCTTGATTTCTGCTGATTGATGGCATTAGCCAGTTCCTCCCTGAAATCTCTTTCCAGCAATTCTCTGACACTACTTTCTTTCTGAAATTTCCTCTGCTTCTTTATCTGTCTGTGTTAGGTGTTTTGTTTTTCCCAATGCCTTAATGTTGCTGCTCACTAAGTTCTGTCTTGGTATTTTTTCTCTTTTAGCATTAAACAACTATACTCTATATCATGCTGTAGATGAATCTCAATTTTCAGAAAAACCTTCCTTCTTGGACCCAACGTGTATTTCTTTTAAAACAGGTATGTGAATTATCTCGTTGTAAAAGCAGCACACAAACCAAGCATGGTACATAATGGTAACAAAATGCTCTAGGATATGAGGCCACATGGAAAGGTCCCTAGTTTGCATCCTGAGGCCTTCCTGTGCATTCTGGGTGTGTGCATGTACCTATGGTGCTGGTTGGCTGAGGCTGGGAGGTAGGATTACAGCATGAAAGCCCTGTTAGGGCCTCTCTCTCTCTTTCCTCTCTTGTAGAAGAAAGAAATAAAACTAAATTTAACAGAAAATAGCATAAGTTAACTGCAGAAAATAAAACAAGTAAAAGAAAATAGTAAAAAAAAAACCAAAACACCTCATAATCACACCATACAGACAATTACTGTCAGTTTACAAGAATAAATCTTTTTATAACCAAAACAGGGGATTATCTAGCATCCTCATTTTGTAATTTGAATTTGTACTTAAAAAAATACATAACAGATATGCTTCCATAGCATTATCTATAGACACAAGTCATAAGTTTATCTGACTACATTGATTATACTGTTTTATTTAAATCATATGATAGCATTGATTTATTATTCAATAAACAACAGTGCAATAAACAAGCTTAAGTAAGTCTCTGTGTATAATGATGGCTGTTTTGTTACAGAATATATTTTTAAACATAGAATTACTTAAATAATATGGACATTTTTTGGACAGATTTTTGCTATAGGGAGCATGTGTTCGCCAGAAAGACAGAGACAGAAAGCGAGAAATCATCCCCCACAGGGGATGGTCATGCTGCAATCCCTTCTCCTCCATTCTCCTCTCAGGATCTTGGGCATGCGTGTACACACGCCTGGTGTGAATTTAAGCCACTGGGTCTGGAACTTGGACCGCAGTTGACTACATGGGAGTCCAGTGACATAGGCATTATGCCAACTGCTGGTCCCAATATGAACATTTTTAAGACTTTTGATACACATTGCTAGATCTCCATCTACCAATAGGATGATTGTCACCATTTATACTTTCATTGACAGATCGTTTTTTTTCTTTATTCTTTAACCTGGTATTTACTTATGGATACCTGCAACAGAATTTACCTCTAATCTCTATGCATTTTTTTTCTTTTTTTGTTTCTTTTTGTTTATTTGTTTTTAAACCACATACGCATTTAGTCCTTACTATGGGCCAGGTACATATTTTTTTTTAATTAGATTTTTGCTATAGGGTGTGTGTCCTCACTGAAGAGATGGGACAGAGAGACAGGAAGTTAGAAATCACCCCCAGGGGTGTGGCTATGCCATAATCTCTTCTCCTCCATTCTCCCCTTGGGATTTTGAGCATGCATGCACATGCACCTGGCATCAGTTTCAAGCCTCTGAATCTGGAACTCAAACCACATTCAGCCACATGGGAGTCTGGCAACATAATCATTACACTATCTGCTGGTTCCTAGACACTCTTTTTTAAAACATTGAAGATATAACAGCATTTCAAGCTGATAAAAATTCCTCAGTTTAAGTCATGTCTTTTCTCAATTAATCACACCTTTATCCAAGCAGGGAAGCTGGTAATGATTCTAACCCATCTTTTAACCCTTGCACCCAGTCACCATGTCCTGCCTTAATTATCTCATACATCTGTTCTCTGGCTGCCACCTAGTGCCACTATCTAAATTCATTTGGCACCTTAAAGCTTCTCACTTGCACACCAGTAATATCCACCACTTGGCCTCCCAGCCTCCATTTTCTCTGCATTCTGATCCATCCTTCACAGGCCTCCAGGGTAATCATTCTGAACCTCAAATTGACTGTGGCAGGCACTTAATAATATTTTCAACTGCATGACAGAGTTCAAGTCCTCATCTTGCTAGCCTCGCCTCTCATGACTCCACTCCATGACTCACTCAGATTCCCAAAATGCATCATTTTCCTCTCAAGTCTGCCTACATTTATTCTTACAATACCTAACTCTCAGTCGAATAGAAAGGCAACTCAGGATGTGTGCCCTCCTTACACCATATATAAAAATTAGCTCAAAATGAATCAAAGACACAAATGTAAGACTTAAAACTATAAAACTCTTAAAATAAAATTCAGAGGAAAAACTTCATGACATTGAATTTGGCAACAACTTTTTTAACATGATGCCAAAAGCACAGGCAACAAAAGAAAAAAAGATATCAATTGGATTGCAACAAAATTCAGAATCTCTGTCTGTCAAAAGACACAATTAATTAAGTGAAGAGGCAACCAACAGAATGGGAGAAAATATTTACAAAGCATATTTCCAATAAGGGATTCATATCCATAATATATAAAGGGCTCTTTTGACTCAACCACACACCACACACACACACACACACACACACACACACACAACCCAACTAGAGAAAACAGAGAAAAGACTCACATAGATATTTCTATAAAGAATGTGTAAAAATAGCCAATAAGCACATGAAAAGATGTTCAATGTTACTCATCACTAGGGAAATGCAAATCAAAGTTATTATAAAATATCACTTCACACCGATTAAGATAGCTATTATTAAAAATAAATAAAATGAAAGAAAGAAGAAAGAAAATAAGTGGTAAGGGGGAATGTACAGAAATTGGAGCCTTGTACACTATTGATGAGAATATAAAATGTTTCAGTGGCTATGAAAAACTGCACGGTGGTTCCTCAATAAATTAAAAATAAAATTACTATATGATTCTGAGATTCCAGTTCTGTATAGATATTCCAAAAACTTGAAAGCATTAAGTCAAAAAGACATTTGTATACCCATTTTCACAACATTATTATGCACAATAGTGAAAAATAGAAGTAACCCAAGTGTCTACCAACATGTGCATGTATAAAGAAAATATGGTATATACATACAATTATTCAGCCTTAAAAGGGAAAGAAGTTCTGAACATTGAAGACATTGCACTAAGTGAAATAAATCAGTCACAAAAGGACAGATACTGTATAATTCCACTTATATGAAATACCTAGAATAGTCAAATTTATAAAGACAGAAAGTAGAATGGTAGTTACCAGGAGTTAAAGAAAAGATAAATAGTAAATGATTGTTTCGTAGAGTTTTAGTTTTGCAAAAGATGAAAAAAATGTTCTGGAGATGGATGTTGATAACAGTTGCAACAATTTATGAATGTACTTAATGTCAATAAACTGTACACTTAAAAATGATTAAGATGGGGGCTAGCAGGTGGTGTGGTTGTTAAGGTGCTAGATTTCCATATGGCTGACCATGGTTCGAGTCCTTGACCTGGCAGCTTGCCTTCTCACTTTCCTTCTTTTTTCTCTGTCTCTCTCTGCTAAATTAAACTAAATTAAATAATTTTAAATGATTACATGGAAAATTTTATATTATGTTCATTTTACCACAATTAAAACAGAGACAAGATAAGTGCCCTACTAACAGTAGGTTAGATGATTATGTTGTTATATAAAGGACAGATGTTAGGGACCAGGTGGTGGTACAGTGCTAACATAATTGGATCCAGATGTAAAAGGTCCTGGGTTCACATCTTATAAATCTGACTTCAATAAATATAAATTTATAAAGTATATAATTTTATAATTATGTAGATAACTATGCCATATATAATTTCATTTATGTCTACACCAGACATGCTGGAGGAAATAAAATACATTTTTTACAAATTGGGCCAAGAAAAATATTGGGGGGTGGGAACTTGTTCTCTTTGTAGTCCCTGTCCCACATTTTAGGAAATTAAAAAACACATCTCTTCCCTTTCTGACCAATCTCCTATATAGGCAGGATACAATGGGACAGAAGGGAGATATCACCTCGAAGTTTGAGTGTGGGCTGATTTTTCCATGCTTCAGGCATCATTTCTCTTCGTGTCTTCAGGACAAATTGACTGTTGATAAATTTGCAAATGCTGAAAATGTTGAAGGTAACTTGAGGATGAATGATGGAGAAATAGTCATCTAATCGAATCTTTTGGGTTTGGAGACCTGGTACATATTTCTGAATATTTACTCCAGCTTGCTTGATCTTCAGCTATGCACAGAGGACAGATGTAAGATTGGGGAGTAAAAAACAACCTCCACCATAAATTTTCCCTTAAAAATAACATTTGGTCATACTTTGTGGCCACTGGAGGGAAAGGGGGTCAGTAATGAAATAAATAATAGATTCTTTTTAAAAAAATCAACTCTGTAGCTAATGTCTGAAAAGGGTAGTAAGGGAGTACTCAGAAGTATTTTTCTGACTAAGAAGCAGAGGTTAAAGCTCTCGCTTGGGCTAAATTTTTTTCTCTAGCTCTCTCTCTCTCTCCGTTTGTGTGTGTGTGTGTGTGTGTGTGTGTGTGTGTGTGTGTATGTTCATGCACAAACATGTCTGTCTGTCTTTCATTACTTAAAATGAAACCAGCAAATTCCTTAGCATTGAATCTGACACTCAGACTTCAGTTAAGGAGCCTATCAAGAGGATGAGGAGATTCCTTTCACTACTATCTCCAAGTAACACACAGGACGCAGTAAGATGGGAATCCTTTATATAAAATATTCAATGCCAGCATAGATGCTCAGGGATACTTAACCTCACTAACCATGGGGACTCAGGCTAGAGCAATCAACCTAACATTTTTGAAATACATATCCTTAAATTTTCTGATATTCTATGTCCAAAACTTAAAAAGAAAAAGAGTTTTTACAGTAGATGAGAATTTAAAATATTAATAGTGGCAATAATAATATTGTCCTGGGTTGCTGGGGAAAAGCTGAGGTACATTGATTTATGAATTCACCAGTGTTTCATATAGGGTTGTTAATTTACCTCAATTGGATCATTATTTCTTTGTAGGTAGAGATTACCCTCAGACGAGTAAATTTTATATAATCTAGTCCAGCAGAAAACTGGTAGGCGAAGACTTAATATCTCTATGGGTTCAAATAAACATCAGAGAAAATTACAATGACTGAAGGCATTTTAATTGATTTTTTACCAAATTCATCCTGCTTAATTGCACTTTGAGTTCATAGTCAATTAGTTGGTATATATTTTATCCAGGGAAATTGATAATGATCAAACTTAAAGGATCATGCTCATTATATCCACACAACAATGGCACAAGTTGGTTTAGACTCTTCCCCAACTTCAAGATGCAGAAAGTGAAGGTTTGTGGAATTTAAGATAGCCATGGTAGTCACAAGGATAGGCAGAGGTCACATTTAGAAATGCACACGGCCATCACTACTGGCTGTGTTCCGTTGTCTTACGTAGTGGACTTTAGTGTCACTTCCTTTTTTTCTTGCTCTTTAATGAGAAACTTTCCCATTCAACCACTAGGTTAAACCTCCCCTCCATACCTATTAGGAAGATTCTGCATTCTGGTTTCTGAAGGATTTCACAATATGAAAAGGAAGTCAATGGTCCTGTCAGACTGAAACCTAGTGCCCCCCCCCCCCCAAACATTTTCAGGGATTTGAAAGTCTCCACTAGCCATAAAGGACTATAAATCATGTTCCTTTCCCTAGCTTCTCCATAACTTCAAACTACAGAAGAAAGAACCTCTTACTGATTCATCAAATACAATATGGAAAGGAAACACATTGCAGAATGTCTTCTCTTCAATCCAGAGTCTCTCAGGATAAATTGGCTTGAAGGTGTTTGTGAGATGCCCTGGGTACAGAAAAAGAAAGTTCTGATGAGAGGCAGCTCCCACCACTGCCCTGCACAGAGCAGAATCAGGATAGAGATAGCTTCTTAAGCGTTTCACAGGCAAAGTGCAATCCCCACTCTTTAGCATGGGCTCCCTCAGCGTCTCCAGATGGCCACGGCAATTCTTCTTCCAAATTAAAACAAACAGAAAACTTGCTACCAGGTTGAGAAACCCTCCTGCCCCCTGCCAAGTTTCTGCCTGCCGCTGAAGAGTTTCTGGGCCAATTGAGTATGTCTCGCCATGAAAACAGAGTCAGCATTGAAACGGTGACAGCCAGACAATGAACTAGCAGAGGAGAGCGTGTGCGCCCAGCCCAGCGTCAGGGACATTTGCCATGGAGCTTTTTAGACTGACAGTTTTGGGTGGCACGTGAAAATTTAACCAACAGTTCTATTTGGCAGGGGGTAAAGATTCGAAATGGAGCCTTTTTGATATGAAAATCTCCTAGACAAAGGATGTCAGTTGTGTGTTTGACTCGCTTGCCATGGCTTGAAGAACTCAAAATGCAGCCCTTTGAGCCTGCAGACCTTCTCCAAGATGCATGTCATCTAACCCATGCGGCATAACAAGGAGCCGCCAGCTCCCTTCTCCCAGTGGGTCAGTTTTATTCTGATTCAGGTGTTAGGTGCTGATCTTTAGACCGGCTCAGTGCCCACAGGGGCACCCTAGGGAACCTTGTGATTTCATTCTGCAAATAAGAAGTTAGGGCTCTTTCACAAGGTCACCCAGCTGCTCAGGGTCAGAACATGCTTTCTAGGCTCTTGATCCAGCATTCTTTGCACAATTAGACTCTGGTTACTATCCAGATTTCCAATTCATAAATTCATCCCACTTAAGAAAGGCTGAATCCAGAAGATGAGCTATAGAAAAATGTATTGTTCTTGATAACACATCATTACTTATCCTCCTTTTCAACAGTCACCAATTGGGACTAATTTCTGCTCTCTATCCAGAGGCTTTCCCTTAGGACAGGAGAAACAGTAACTCCATGAAACCCAGCACAAACTAATGAAGCAGTGAAGGCAAGTAAGAGTCTGACTTCCTTCCTTCCTTCCTTCCTCCCTCCCTCCCTCCCTCCCTCCCTTCCCTTTTCTTTCTCTTTCTTTCCTTTCTTTTTCTCTCTTTCTTTCTCTACATGATAGAGCGAACTTATGTGTGCAAGAGAGAGAGCAAGCACACTCCACAGAGTCTTGTTATGTCATAATCCCCTTTCACCAGTCCTTCAGTTTCTCAGGATCCTGTGTGCCTGTGTGTACATTCAACATGCTTCAGATCAGTCCAAATCATGGTCATATATGTGGCTTCCAGCACTATAGTCCTGTATGCTGTGGACTGTGCTGTAAGGCTGAGCCAGAATCTGATTTTTAAAGTTAAAAACCATGGCTGCCAAATGCAAGGTCCACACAACTTGGTGGCATCATGATCACAGAGGGCATGGCCCCATTTGTGTACAGCAACTGCTACTCCTGAAAATCAAGCAACTGTTCTGATCTAGCCAAGCTGGGGAGAACAGTCCACTCACCTTTTCCAAACAAGACTACACTTCTCACAACGTCCCAGTGGGATTTCTTCATAAGACAAGCCGAGACATGCATATATTTCTCCTTCATCCTAAGGAAAGCTGCTTGGAGGTCCTGCAGATGGCAGGAAGAAAAGCAGAGGTAACTGGTCATGTGACTGGGGATGCACAAGCGCCATTTGCTGTACCTAGGTACATCTTTAAATGAGGAACAGTGTTTGTGGCCTGCGAACAGTGTGACAGCTCATGAGATCAGTTCTATCAAAATTTTGTAATTCCCAAGATTTTTTTTTTTTTATCAAATTAATTCTCATGCTGTTTCTCTGTCAGAGGCAGGAAGGATTCTACAAAAGCTCAAGATGGGGGTAGGATAATATCTGTCAGGGAAATCACACATCAATACCTTCTCTTCTTGTCGTTGAGGAGACTACAGTAGAAAGACTCTGAGATGGGCTTTGAATGCACTAAGTTATAAACACTCTGCTGTGCTCCAGAAACTACAGACTTAACCTGGACTTTTAAAGTAATATGGATACAGGGAGCTGTTCACCTAATACCTGTGGTATTTAGATAAATAATGGTCACCCTGTGAGTTACGATTAAGGTGGCCAAGCACAGGATTTTGAGTTGACTTCATATCCACAGCTGGCTCCAGTGGTAGAAGTGGGCACTAGAACCTTAAAAGGCAACTTATTTTTTTTTATAAAGAATTGTTTTATTTAACTTTATTTCTTTATTTTAATTTGACCAGAGAGGGATAGAGTGAGCGAGAGAAAGAGAAAAAAGTGAGAAAGCAAGCCACCAGGTCCAGGACTTGAACCACGGTTGGCCATGTGGGAGTCTAGTGCCCTTAACCACCATGCCACCTACCGGCCCCAAGGGCAACATATTTTAAAGAGATTGTAAAATAAACTACTGAGTCCAAATTTCAACCTTCATACCTGTGTTTGTGTAGGTGAAAATTCTCCAGAGTACTGTAGGTCTCAGAAAGCCTCCCAGTGTATGTCTAGTTAACCATAATTCAGTAGTTCTCAACCAGGAGTGATTTTATCCTCTATCCTCATCCTGGAGACACTCAGTAATGCCAGGAGACATTTTTGATTGCCATACTAGAAGGGTGGGTGCTACTGGTATCTAGTGGGTAGAGATTAGGATATTGCTAAACATCCCATAATATAAAGAACAGCCCATCTCAGGAAAGTATTATCTGATCTATAAAGTCAATAATGTTGAGAACAAAGGATGGTGTAAGTTACGTCGCTGGACTCCCAGACCAGGCGGCTTAAAACCCACACCAGGCGCATGTGCATGCCCAAAGTCCTGAGAGGAGAACGGAGGAGAAGGGACTGCAGTATGGCCATCTCCCCTGGAGATGCTTTCTTGCTTTCTGTCTCTCTGTCTCTCTAGTGAGAGCAAGAGCCCTATAGTGAAAATCTCTCTTTAAAAAAAGAATCAATTGTGGTAAGAGTGAGAAACCCTGCCTTAACACCACCATAAGGCCCAGTTGATCCTGTTGGGATAGATTGTTCCAAGACTAGTAGCTCTGCTCAGGTGGAACTGTGCTTTCTGAAGATGTAACAAACCCAGTACCTTTTTGTCTCTCTGGGTGTCCAGGCTGTCTTGCAACCTGTTTGGCTTTGCCCTTCTCATTTGCCTGCGATCCTTTTGCACAACCAGAAACACAACGTGCTCCTTTTTCCCTGTCCTCTCCACTTCTTCATTCATGTCAAGAATATCCATGGTCACTTCAATGTCAAAGAAGTCCTTGGCCACAGCCTCAATGATACCTGCAGCCAAAGGACAGTTACTTGTGAGGGATGGCAGAAGTCAGTTGTGTCAGCAAAAAATTATAAAATAATTAAATTATAGAAATTCTGATGAAAATTCCAGTTTACCAAGCCCAGGGCTTTCCTCAAATGGGCAGCATATGACAGATTAATAAAATAAGAATCTGTGGAAATTTCTTATGCATATCTGGATACCAAATATATTGTCACTATTAATTTTTTTTTTTTTTTGGAGAGATTTTCGCTGTAGGGCGCGTGCGCTCGCCAGACAGACAGAGAGAGACATAGAGACAGAAAGTGAGAAATCACCCCCCAGGGGGGATGGTCACGCCGCAATCCCTTCTCCTCCATTCTCCTCTCGGGATCTTGGGCACGCATGCACACGTGCCCGGTATGTTTTAAGCCACCGGGTCCGGGACGTGAACCACGGTTGACTACATGGGAGTCCAGCGACATAACCATTACACTAACTGCTGGTTCCCGTCACTATTAATTTTTAGCTCAGTATTTGTTTCTTTGTTATTTCAGGAACATATTTATCTCATTAAACAATCAAACAAACAAATCCTGGAGATAATATAAACAACATTCAGGTTTCTTTATTTTAAGAATTATTTTATGGGAACCAGCAGTTAGCATAATGGCTATGTCGCTGGACTCCCACATAGTCGACCATGGT